GTCAAACCTACACTAGCAAGGAGATCGGGCTGAAACTATAGCTACAAGCTATCCAAGGATGGTACTATAGAATGTCACCTCAAGGTAGGCCTAGTGGCGTCATCTCTTGGTTAGGCCGGAAACTTATCAATCCACCCTCGTATGCTTTGTATGACGTGTTTGTCATTTCCCTTCGATGTCATTATAAGCGGATTCTACTGTAATTATTAGCAAATATTACTGTGCAACTTTTACATTAAACATGATATTGTATTCCATACCTGCATCAATTATTTTATTGGTCAATACCTTATTACAACACATTTTGGTCAAACTATTTAAATCCTTTGATAATCAGTTTTTAAATATGAAAGGTCAGTAAAGGTCAGCACATTAAATATAAATGATCAATGTTTAAACCCAATTGGTCTAACAGTCTAACTACACATATGTATTGTAACAAATTACATAACTATCCCAACCAATTTAACTAATCAATAAGTAATTCATTTTAAAAATTAAAATAAATTTGTTTACAATTTATACGAAAATCATCCTAAACTCATAACATAGTCTCTGTAGCACCCCCTCTGCTATTAAATATTAAATGCCACCAAGTCATGAATAAAAAGCTCCCCGACTATTTTTTAGGCACGTTGGCACGTGAACAAGAACAGATTTTTTGGCACGCGTCGCCACGTGCACTCAAAACGTTAAATGTCACGCAGCTCCGACTTTTCCTAATAGTTATTAGTTTAGGCCGAAGTGGTAGACTAACAATTACCCAAAAAATGTGTGTATTAGTCATAAATATACCTAGGTCTAAACCTTTTATCGAAAAAGGGTGTTATTGACTGACATAGTATTATTTATAATGGTAAATGTGTTCAAACGGTAAAAGTTTATTTTATTATTAATTCACTGTTAGGATCGATACACAGAAAGAAATCTCAAAATAGTTGTAGATAGAAATAACAAAAGATATATTTTATTTGCAAAATCTTATTGAAAATTTTTAAGCAATTTCGTTTACTTCATCTGTAGATATTGCGCTAGTTGTTGCTACACGACGAAGGAAACAATACGTAATTCTAGGTGCATCCTATAAACAAACAAAAAACAGAAGGAAAAAGTCTTCATCAGTCTTTATTAAAGGAAAATGAAAAACTTTTAAGAATTTTATAAGGGTAAGCTAAACTTTTTCATTATTTATTGCTTATCAACCCGAGATAAAAATGTCCAGTCTCTCAGAGTTTCTAAAAGCGAGACTCGAGTCTCCGTCTCTCATCGAGTCTCTGTGGTGTCGCTGAGAGAGACTGTCAAAAAAACTGTTTAGCGTCTCTGAACGAGAGACTCGAGCCGCTCATAGAGAGATCCTCATTCTGCGTCCAGTCTCTGAACGAGAGACTCGAGTCTTTCATAGAAAGATCCTGATTTTTCGTCCAGTCTGTAAAAAATATTTTATAAAATTATATGACGATTTATTACTTTATTTATTACACGATTTTGATAAAACTTATTCTTCGATAAAATGCTTAAGAAGTTTTCGGACCATTTCATTTGGGTCGTTTCTCGTCAAATCCGTAATAAATTCAAGATCTGCCAATGAGATCCAAATATTAGACCCNTAACTGAGAGAGTGAAAATTTTTGTCCAGGGAAGATAACTACAAAAGCGATTTCAGAATTCACAGATAATGTCTTGTTAGTAACCACTTTGTGTACACTATTGGTAAATTGATAACCAAAGAAATTTTTCACATTTTTATATTTTAGTGTTTTTCTAAAAGAAATAGTTGCCTTCTAATACCTAACCATATCTTTTTTTAATAAAACCCTTTACAGCGTATTTAGTACTGATCTACTTTTAATTCTTTATAAGGGTCCTTTAAAAATAAATTATAACCAGAATGAATCCGATTCGGCGTTTTATGGTTGAGTTGAGGCTAATTTGTTTGACACGCGTCCTTAATCCCTGTACTTATATAATTAGGGTCGAAAGTCGTCACCGGACTGTTTATAGATAAGGGGCGGCATCCCGCTGACGGGATCATCTTTTGACACCAGACAATGGCCGATAGAAATGCACGAGAGGTTTTCGCTCACTAGACAATGATTATTTAATTTGTTTTCGTCAGGAAGTTACTTTCAACATTCTCACGCTTTTCATTCCGAGTAAAAAGTCGATGGCGACTTCCAGTTAACGGAAAGTGAAATATTTTTGACGTTATTATATTATACCTAATAGATACTTAAGTACCGGCTATAAAATTATAATTTATGGCATCGACATGTGTATTAATAATTAATTTAGTTAATTATTAGTAGTCTGTACTGTATTAGCACATTGAAAAATCTTTATGTTATCCAGAGTGATTCTAATTTTATGTATATAGGTCATAGAATAGAAAATACTACAAATGGCGCGGTAAACGCCATCTGTAGTACGATGCTACATTTTAGGATTCCTTATGCTCCAACAAGGTCCTACCACGTTGAGGTTAGCTACGCCAGGATTCGTTTCAGCAAGTAGATATCCATATATTTAAATGGACCTTGTTGGAGCATAAGGAATCCTAAAATGTAGCATCGTACTACAGATGGCGTTTACTGCGCCATTTGTAGTATTTTCTAAAACGCGCTGTTAAGACAACAAGTAAAAGTTGGTCTGTCGGAGCTGCCTGCAACGCGCTGATGAGATCCAAAATGATCGAAATCGCGATCCGGGCCTGGCAGTTTCGACACAATACAAACCACTTCGAATTATTTTATTAGGTCATAGAATGTTCTTTCAAAGTTGATTTTTACTTTCAATAGGTTTTCTCTAAAGGTATTCACTTTTTATAGACATTTGTTGTGTCTCTTTTTCAGTAAAAAGCTTTATCTGCAGCAATTTTAGAAGAAGAAAAAAGTTTAATAACATCCGACAGTGTTTGTATTTGGCTATGAAGTATCAAAATTAGCTGTTTGATAAAAAATCATCAAGTATTTTCCTCTGATTAGCAGTAATTTTCGCAATTTCCGTATTTTAAGAGAATTGATGTCCGTATAAATAAGAAATTAGTATTTTTATGGACATATGTCCAAGTAATAGCAAATTTTAATGAAAACATTAGAAAGTGATTTTGACTAATTGATGAAAAATGGATTTTTTTCGCTGCCATATGAATCAATTTAATATTATTATAGGTAATACATAGAAAAATAAACAATTTTGACACATTTTCATTGCGCTTCAAACGTCAGTACAGCCCTGCGTTGGATCCCTGCAGAGTGGTACATAATAGACCTTTATTTTCCCTAGGGTAGTCCCACACCACACCTGCAAACTTGCGATAAGGGCTGACTCCGCCCTAATCGAAATTTTCGCTCGACTGGCGCGTTAAAATAACATTGTTCCCTTATTTGAGTAAAACTAACCAACCAACTTGTATTTCAAGTATAAAAAGTCGTTATTGCAATAAAGTTTAATATTTGTAAGGAATGTTTTCCCTTTAAATGAAATGTGAAATTTGCAATTGTTTTTCGCGACATTTCACTTTAAATTAAAACGTTTTAACATCGTAAGAAAATGGTTCGATTTCGCAATGCTTTTAAAAAAAATTCAAGTGAATTTTTACCTTATTTGCCTCTAAATGTTTATAAATAAGAAAAGTAAAACTGTAATTATTCATCTCAGAGTTT